TTTCGTGTAAACAACCATACGTTTATAATGAAATATATTTCGCTTTGAAATTGTTTTTTATAAGAAAAATTACATTTGTGTAAATGGAATCAAGCACTTGTCATAATACAAGAACTTACGTTGCTGTCGAAAGAGGGCGCTACTGTAGTTTATGGTATGGCGTCATTGTTCCGCGAGTCCGTTGTGTTCAACCCTGGATGGCTCAACTATTGTGTACAACCCTGGCAGCCTGACGTGACGTGACAGAAGACAGCTGTCCCAATTTGTTGTTTACTTCTAGTCAGCTTGTTGCCGCGCAATTATGATATCGTGTTGTTGTTAACAAAATAAAGTATTTCGATTTATTTGTATGTTCAGTGCCCAAAATTAATCCGAGTTATTAGTAAAACAGTGTTTTCATTCGCTGGTGATATATCAAGCAAACACATAGCAGTAGTAGCTATAACTGGTGACCCCGACGTGATATATCTCCGCGTACCACTCGGCCTCTAACCTAAAAGACGTGTCTGACTACTAAAAAAATCAAGATGCAAAGCAATTTCGACTCCTCAGTAGATCCTGATCAGCAATTGGCTGCAAACAGCTCTTTTACCAACCAGCAACCAGACAGGAGTTCGTCAGTGAGTATTCCTATGCCTCAACCTTCTGGCCCTCACGGCAGTACATCATTTGATCCCGCGGTGCATTTTAATCCAACAAATCACCCGGTGAGCTATCAGCAAGCATATGCCCAACCAGTAGTAAATTCGTTGCCAGCCCCCATGATGCTCAACCAGCAGCAGAGTTATGCCATTGACGCAGTTTACAACTGCAATCTGCCACCCTTTTGGCGTTCTCATCCAGACCTATGGTTCCTGCAGATTGAATCAGTCTTTCAAGCCCACCGTATACAGTCCGATAGCACCAAGTACTATCAATTGGTAAAATCACTGGACCCGGACACAATCACGGAAGTTGCAGACATCTTGAAGGCTCCACCACCTCAAGATAAGTACCAAAATCTCAAGTCTAACCTAATAAGTAGACTAACAGCCTCCGAAGGCTCTCAGATGCACAAACTGCTCACTGATCTAGAACTAGGTGACCGAAAACCCTCACAGTTGCTTCGTGAAATGCGAGCCCTTGCCGGCAATCGTGCTACAGAAGACGTGCTCCGCATACGATGGCTGGCCCTTCTGCCTGTCAGCATTCAGCACTTGCTGAAAATTTTCAAGGCCAATTCACTTAACGAACTAGCTGCTGCAGCTGATGAGCTCATGACAAACATCCCTGGTGGCAGTGTCATGGCCGTCAACCAGAGCTCTCGCCAGCATGGACATGGTTCTTCAGTAGCCTCCGAGCTGAACGAACTCAGACAAGCCATCACAGAACTAACCATTGCTCAGAAGGACCTCACTTCTGCCATCAGACAGAGTCTCACCTCTACCAGTCGACAACCACGTGAGCGTTCTGTCACTTCTGGAGAATGCCGATATCATCGAAAATTCGGTGCCCGGGCCCAAAAATGTGTGCAACCCTGCACATCTCAGCTGCCACTAGCATCTCCGCGCCAGGAAAACTAAATATGCTGTCGCCTGTTCAGGTGGTAAGCGACAGCAATGTCAACAGCACCTGCCTCCCATCTAAAGAAGGTCGCCTGCACGTCATAGACAAGGTCACTGGCATGAAGTTCCTTATCGACAGTGGTTCCGTTGTATCCTTGATTCCAAGAAGCTTCTTTCAACGAAAACTTCTGCCTGCTGACCTCATGCTATATGCAGCCAATGCAACAGTTATCAAAACGTATGGTCAACACTTTCTTAACCTCAATTTTGGACTCCGCAGATCCTTCAAGTGGGCATTTATCATTGCAGACGTCAAATCAGCAATCATAGATGCCGACCTGCTTTCACATCATGGCCTCCTTCCTGATTTAAAGCACAAGCGCCTTCTGGACTCTCTCACCTCACTGTCTTCTCCTGCTGAAATGCATGAAACCGAACTTCATACTGTTTCCACTGTCAATAATGCAGAATATGCACCTCCTACACTCAGTCAACCCTATAGCAAGTTGCTGGAAGAGTTTATTGACATCACCCGTCCAAGGTCAGCCCCATCAGTGGACGCCCCTACAGGAACTCATCACCACATAGTCACCACTGGACCGCCAGTCAATGACCGTCCACGTCAGCTAAACTCAGAGAAACTAAAGATTGCTAAAGAGGATTTCGACCTCCTGTTGCATTATGCTGTTATCCGTCCCTCCAGCAGTCCATGGGCCAGTCCTCTACACATGGTCCAGAAAAAACAAGGTGGATGGCATTCCACAGGTGATTTTAGGAGGCTCAATTCCCAGACTGTGCCAGATCGGTACCCCATACCACTACCAGAAGACATCTTTCAGCGGCTGCATGGGAAAAGTGTCTTCACTGTCATTGACCTGGTTCGAGCTTACCACCAAATTCCTGTAGCACCAGAGGACATACCCAAAACAGCGATAACTACTTTTTTTGGGCTTTTTGAGTTTCTGGGTATGCCTCCAGGCCTGCGCAATGCCACTCAGACATTTCAACGTCATATGGACAACCTTCTCCGTGGTATTGACTTCGCAGCATGCTACATTGATGACTTGATAGTGTTCTCGGATTCCCATGAGGAACATCTGCAACATCTACGCAAAATCTTTAATGTACTGCGTGAGAACAAACTCACTATCAACCTCAGCAAGTGCCAAATCAACAAGTCAGAAGTTATGTACCTCGGCTACTCCATCAACAAGCTCGGATACAAACCACCTGATTCCAAGATCCAAGCCATCGCTTCTTACCCCAAGCCAGAGACCATCTCTGACCTTCGTAAGTTTTTGGGAATGCTCAATTATTACCGTCGCTGTATTCCAAAGGTCGCTGAACTTCAAGCCCCTCTCAATGCATTTATGAAGGGTGCCAAGAAAAAAGACAAACGGCCCATCCCTTGGACACCCAGCTCAGAGAAGGCCTACCAAGACTGTGTAGAAAGCATTGTCAAAGCGACTTGTACCAGCTTCATCTCACCCTCTGCAAGTCTCGCACTCGTCACTGATGCCTCGGACTTCGCCATTGGAGCTGCACTTGAACAGCTGATCGACGACTGCTGGAAGCCCATAGGTTTTTTTTCCCGCAAGTTGAGTCCCACCGAAACGCGATACAGCACCTACGATCGCGAGCTGCTAGCGATTTTCGCTGCAATAAAGTTCTTTCGTCACCAGCTGGAAGGACGCCAGTTCATCATCAAAACTGATCATCGCCCACTGGTATACGCCTTTGCTCAGCGCGCTGAAAAAGCATCCCCCAGACAGCTCCATCAACTGGACTTTATTTCACAATTCAGCACAGAAATCGTCTATGTCAAGGGAGAACACAACGCCGTTGCTGACGCCCTGTCTCGTATTAACGCTATCTCCATGCCAACGTCACTGTCTCCTAAAGCCATCGAAGCCGCACAGCTTGAAGACCAAGATACGCCACAAGAATCATCGCTCAATCTGCAACAGCTTGTTATTGAAAACGCCAACGTCCTCTGTGATATCTCTTCAGATCGCATCAGACCCTACATTCCGACAAATCTCCGACGCAAAGCTTTTGATGTTGTGCATGGTTTGGCACACCCCAACGGCCGAGTCACTGCTCGAAGCCTCAAAGAAAAATTTGTTTGGCCTGGAATCAAGAAGGACGCCCTCCAGTGGTCCCGCCAATGCATTCAGTGTCAAAAATCCAAAATTCAACGACACAATCGTCTCGCACCACAGCACATCACCGTACCTGACAACAGATTCGAGCATATTCACCTAGACCTCATCATTTTACCACCAGTCAACAAATTTCGTTACTGCTTAACCATAATTGATCGATTTTCTAGATGGCCTGTTGCAGTACCCCTCCAGAACATGGAAGCTGACACCGTCTCGTCTGCTCTCTATGTCAATTGGATTTGCAACTACGGAATGCCACTATCCATCACAACTGACCAGGGCACGCAATTTGAATCTTCACTATTTTCGGCTCTTGCACGCCTTGTAGGAGCGCGGGTAATCCATTCCACGCCCTATCACCCGCAGTCCAATGGCATCGTAGAGCGCTTCCATAGGACTTTGAAGGCAGCTCTTATGTGTCAAGCACCCACGCCCTGGACGGAAGTGCTTCCGACCGTTCTTCTGGGTCTGCGTACGTGCCTGAAAGAAGACCTGAATGCCTCACCAGCGGAGCTCCTTTATGGGACACCCCTGCGTATACCTGGTGAATTCTTCACCTCTGAGTCACCCCCAGCTGATCCCCAAGTCTTCCTCGAAAAATACCGGGACCACATCAGGAAAGTCCGCCCAACACCTACGGCTCACCATATCAAATCTCGCTGCTTCATCCTCAAGGACCTCGCAACTTGCAGTCATGTCTTCCGCCGAGTGGACTCTGTTCGTCGCCCGCTCGAACCGCCCTACACTGGCCCGCATGAAGTCGTCAAGAGAATAAATGACCGAGTGTACAGCATTCGAATCAATGGCGTTGAGAAGACTGTCTCTGTGGACGCCCTGAAGCCAGCCTACACCCTTAAACCCGATACCGTTTCATCCACCCTGGAGAATCACCCAGCGTCATCCTTCACCATGGACCGCCCTCTTCGCACTTACTCAAAAAAGAAGGTTTCGTTCCTCCCACAAGTGGCTTCGCCGCGCAATTATGATATCGTGTTATTGTTAACAAAATAAAGTATTTCGATTTATTTGTATGTTCAGTGCCCAGAATTAAACCGAGTTATTAGTAAAACAGTGTTTTCATTCGCTGGTGATATATCAAGCAAACACATAACAGTAGTAGCTATAATGGACGGACTCTATTATATTTCTCTATGGTTTTACCTCAGGGCGACTATCAAACTCAATTGTGACGTCACATGGACATGCCCTATAGGTAAAGTCTGAAACTTGCTTCAATTTGTCATTACACTTGTCAACAATAAGGTGTACTGGTTAGACATCGAACATCAACATGTTTAAAAATTTCTTTAGAGCCCAAAAACCAAAAGTAATCGTTAAAAGCAATGTTCCCAATAAAAAAACAATCAAGAAAATATCTCGAGAATATCTTGAAGCGCAACAAGAAATTGGAGATGGAAAACATCTATTGTCAATAAGTGACGAAGAAGTAATACAAATTTTAAACTATGAGAAAGAAGAGACATATAGAAACATATCAAATTCAAATTTCAGGACATCAAGAAAAATTCTGAAGTCTTTTCTTCCAAAAGAAGAATCGATTAAATGTTCCCACTGCAACAGGCGTAACAAAAAGCACAAACTTTGCCAATGCAAAGAAATTAAAATATTTTTATTCAATTACGGAATAAACGACATTGATGCAAAATATAATAATAATAAAGGGCAAAGAGAACAAGCAGGAAACAAAAAAGCTAAAAAAATCGTTTTGTCGAAAGAATCCCTAAAAACTTTGGAAAAGATTAAGCTAAGACTAAACAACATAAAAATGTTTTATCCAAATGTTTATGAGTGTGAAGATAATATTTTAGATCAGTGGGGGCGAAATGGAAGCTTGATCGACATGAACCAAAAGCTGTTAAATACTGAAGTTTTTTCTATAGAAGCTTTGATATAAATATATGTTTAATTTATTTTATTTTTTAACATATACTTAATTCAATTTAATCAATTTATCTAATGTTCTCTTCGTCTGAATTTCTCTTATTTTCCCCCGGCCAAAACTTCTTCTTTGGGATTTTTTTGGTGGCAATCCTCAATCAATTGTAGTATGGTACTCTTAGTCCGGTATAAGCTGTTCAAAATTGGTTTCCCGTGTGCCTTTTTGGTATGCAAGCAAGCGTTTTTTTTTAAACTAAAATTTGTATCGTAAAGAATAACCAAGTCCAGTCGCCGGCTTATGTGTCAGAGGCGTACAGTACGGGAAAAAAAAAATCAAATGATTTTTTGAGCGGTTTTAATAGTTATTTATTGTATAAGTGTTTCAGGAAGCATTTTATCCACGCAAGAATGTTTTTTTCTTAAATAGATAAAATGCAACTAAAACACGAATGTAATACAACGTTTTATCCACAATCATACGTACAGGGTGTTTCCTTATATTTTCACCCCTACCTACAGCTTTAGCTATACGAGGTGGAAAAAAACTTTAAATATGAAAATTGTAGGGTTTTATGTCTATTATCTTTTGCAAATGTCAAAATGGGAAAATGACAGGTGTCAACTGTCACAATGATAAACACTTGCATTTTTCACCCTGTATATTTTTAGCTAGAATGATAGATTTTTTTCTTCTGATTCCAAATATACCATATATGTTGATATTTGGTCGAGGGGTCGACAGCTGTGGATTTCTGGTGTACACCTGTGTGGATTTCCATGGATTTCATGGATGTCTATAGATTTCCACAGATATCCGTGGATCTCAGTGGATTTCTGTGGATGTCCATGGATATCCATGGACATTCAGTAGATTTCTGCAGATGGCCGTAGTTTTCTGTTTTACATGCATGTCAAAGTGGCAACCCTGTTACTCGCCCTGTTACTTTAGTTTGTCTTTCTTGTGATATATATTGTGGTTTAAGTGTGTCTCAAGTTTTAAAAATTAAAATTGATAGTGTGAAATAACAAAAGTAGCTAAGTGTTCCTATAAATCTATCACGAATACCTTATATATTATTTGACGTGACGTGTTTCGACAAACAAACAGAATAGTATTTGTATAACCTTACTTTTTTAATTATCTGTTTTTTTTATTAAAATTATCTAGGAAAAGTGCTGTGCAATGAGTTTTAGGCTCGATTATAGGCTATTCACGAAATTCATTATTTTTTCAGTTCAATATTTTTAAGTAATTGCAGAAGTCTTTGCAATCGTATTTAATTAAAAAAAGCGGCGTTGCCGCTGCTCAATGGCTTTGTGATTTTTTTAAAGTGATTATAAGATTAGTTCCAACATTGCCAAAAACTGTTCATGAAACATCATATTGTCGTGTGAAGCACTAATTTAGCCCTACGTGAGATAGCGACAGTTGTAAAATGGGCTTCGGTCAGGTTCGAACAAACCTATAGAGCTACAAAGTTGGGACGGTCAAGTTAGCTTTGTATTATTACTCGATGAAATGAACTTTTATCTTGAAAAAGTATAGATTTTATGTACACACAGTCTACCTCGCAAATTACAGTGTGCGCCTGAAGTGTGAAGTATTATAATTTGATTATAACACTTAGGTATCCTCTATTGCTGAATTTTAGAAAAACCCCTCGGACCTGTCGATTTTTTTGCTTTATGATACAATTTGTCTGCTTCTCTGGAAACATTTGTTATACAGGGTGTTTTCCAATTGAATGTCAATATTAGGGGGCGATTTTTGGCTCTATTTTAAGAAGAAAACTCCCTGAACGTCCTAACTTTGGAGATACAGAAGGCACAAAAATATTTCAGGGATCAAGTAAAACGTTTTAACTTGTCTGTTTTCATTGCAGAATGAACCTTGATCCTCTGCCTGACTCCAGAGATGACTGCCTGCGTGAGGTTGAAGAGGCTCTAAAGATTTCTATACCCGTTTCTTTGAAGAATGAGACATTTCCGAGAAGGATTTAGATGAGATGGAGGCATTTATGGTATCAGAGACGGCTCGCGATTTAATTCCAAAGAGCGAATATGAACAATATTATGGCATTTTCCATATAAATCCAGACAAATTTAAATTCTTACTTGGACATAAAAAGCTGCTGCTGTTAATTTCAAAATTCTTCAAAGACAAATTCCGAAAAGCCGAGCAGAAAGGTGAAGCGGAATTCGAGCCAGGAAAAAATATATCGAGTCAATCACGAACTCGAACAGGACATAGCACGCCAAGTACTTCATCTGATTCGAATCTCACTATTAATCGGGCCCCAAATTTAACTAACGAAAATAAACAAGTTTCTCAAACGGTCAAAAATTGGTTTAAAGGCAAATGTACCAACGATGAGCAATGGCATTACTGCAAAGAGAAATTTTCCCAAATATCCTTCGAAACAAAACTAAATATTCGAGGCGAATTGTGCTGTATTATGATATGTTACTGCAAAAGCAAATATCAGATGATGAAGTCAGCTCAAAAAGTAAACTACAATGAAAGATGGATTTATGGCAACATTCACCGACATTTGACCAAGCATTTAAACCTATACATGCAGTCTAGAAGTGTGTCTGAAGTCGCGCAGGAAGCAGTGCTAGACAAAATCAGTGAACCACATGTATTATCTGCTAGCTCATCTATTGGTTCATCAGTAGAAAATAATGGTTCAAAAAAGAAACAGCAGGGAATAAAGAAATTCTTCACGGCGGTTCCAGGGCCAAGTAGTAGTACTCAATCCTTGACTCAAACTAACTCTCTATCTAAACCCGACCCGAGCCCCGACCTTTACTATTCTGAACCCGAATCTGAACAAGATGAAGTGGGAAACATGTCTGAAAACGAAATTCAGGTACCGTTAGCGATACAGAAAAAGTGTGATGCCTCGTGTGAAGCTCACACATCAGACCAAGAATCAGACTTGCCTGCTGCACAACAAGACGTAGGATCAACAAAGGTAAACACGAGGATAAACATTTTGAGTAATCAAGTAATTGTTAACGCAATGATCCATACTCATGACGAAGTTTCACATGACATTTTGTCCAACAATGATAACTCACATTTACAAGAGGATATGATTTGTAATGATAAGAGCAAATCAAAAAGCAAATGGACATCAGAAAAATATCAAAGAAATCAGAGAGCAAGAAGAAAACGCGAGAACCTCGGTGAGAACGACGTGACCACTCAGACAGTTATAACTTCTTTTTTTCCTCTCCTCAGCAGAGTGGAAAACGAAGTGGAGAATATCTTGCATAATGCTCTTCATGAAAAAGAAACTGATTCAGTCATGGATTCAGTCGAGGATTCAGTGCCCTCAACACTAGGTACCAAGCTTAATGAGACGTTAAAAGCAGTACCACAGATCAACGGAGAGCCTCAAGCAAATCATAGAAGCCGGTTATTGAAAATGTTAATTGATATTTCAATCAAAAATGCATGTAGTTCTAGTAGTCCCTATCATTACAATGACGTTGTGAAGAAATTTTCATTGTATCTATTCTACATCGGTGGTAGACTGTTATATGATACGATTTACAAGAATATGAAAGGTGTTCTAACGTCGATAAGCACATTAAATAACTATGTAGCTAAAGCTGGCGAGAAGATCGAAGAAGGGGTATTCGATTATGATGGACTCTGCACATTTTTGGAAGAAAGAAACTTGCCAAAAGTTGTGTGGATAAGCGAGGACGGAACAAGAGTTACAGGGAAAATCGAGTACGACTCAAAAAGTAACAAATTGGTTGGATTCACTCTACCTCTAGTTGATGGTTTGCCCCAAACAGATATGTTTTTAGCCACATCCGCGAAAGCAATTCAAGATTATTTCCTGACAAGCTGTAAGTCGAACTACGCTTATGCAGTCATGGCTCAGCCGCTATCAAAATCTGCCCCACCTTATTGTCTCGTTGTTTTTGGAACAGATAATAGGTTTGATGCAAACGATGTCTCGGAAAAATGGAAACATATCAAAGAAAACTTGGAGAGGCGAAGCATAACCTTACTAGGTTTCTCCAGTGATGGCGATACTCGACTGTTGAAAGCAATGCGCCAACATGCTTCACTTCCACCAGCGCTTCAAACACAGACTAATGGCAGCACAAGGTATAAATTTAAATGGTATCAGGCAGGATACGATAGGAATAATTTTTCCGACATCTCGTATGTACAGGATACTGTACATATCGCAACAAAACTGCGCACAAGATTTCTTAATCCTAAAGCGGTTTTAACAACGGGATCCTATACTGCAGTACCTGCGCATATGGACCAGCTAATCGCAAAGTTCTCAAAGGACAAACATTTATTAACAGCCTCGGATTTAAAAGGAGAAGATAAGATGTGCTTCAAGTCTGCGGAAAAGATGTGTTCTGATTCAGTGATCCAGTTGCTTGAAAGTATTCCAGGAAGTGAAGGTACACGTGCGTATCTGAGGGTAATGCAATTTGCCTTATCATCTTACTTGGACCCTACGTTACATGTACAAGAGCGGCTTCACAAAATATGGTTTTGTGTATTTTTTTTGCGGATTTGGCGCAGATGGCTAGTTGATCAGCCGTGCCTCAAGATCGGGGACAACTTCATTACCTCAAATTGTTACTTATGTATCGAGTTGAATGCTCATGCTCTCATCAATATCTGCACCAATTTCCGTGAAAATCCAAATCTGAAAAATGATATGTTCCTTTCTGACCTTTTTAGTAGTCAGACGTGCGAAAAGACATTCAGAGCAACAAGGTCTATGACTACGACATATTCAACTGTGGTTAACTTCAGCATCAGGGATATTATTCGTAGACTGGACAGAATCGCAACTATAAACAATACTATAAATGATCTACAAGAAGTTCTAAGTTTTCCCAGAGAAGAAAAAAAAGCAATGAAAGGACAAAATGTGTTGCCCGATTTCAAAAATCTGTCAGATAACTTCATTCAGGCCAGTGTGGAAAAAGCTTTGCAAGATGCGCTACAGCTCGCTGAAATTCTGG